CCTCGCCAGCTGCGGGGAAACTGGGTCTCTCTCTCTCTACTACCACTCCTCCTCTCTCCTCTCCTCTCAGGATTGCCTTCCCCTCCCTCCACCCTCCCTCCCTCCTCCCTACTCGCGCGCCGCCCGCCCGGCTGCTGGCCCTCCTCCCCTCCGCAACCTGCGGTGGGGTGAGGACCTGGCCCTCGCGCCCTCTGGGGCTAGCGTTATGGGGGGCTGCGGGCCTGATTGGGGTGGCGGGGATCGTCGCTGACCCGGAAGAAGCTTGGCTCGCCCGAAAGAGGGGAGGATTAATGACAAAGACGGCCCCGTTCTTTCCCATTCAATCCAGTCCTCTGAGACGCACCGGGTCTGAAAGGGACGAAAGGGGGAAGGAGTGTGTGTGTGCGTGTGTGTGTAAGTGTGCAGGGAGCGGGGACGCCAGCGACGAAACGCGTGCAGACTCACCCTCAATAGATTTCTTAGAAACTAAAAACAGAGGTGCGGCGAGGAGCAAGGGGCGTAGGCACGAGCCATAGCTGTTCTTTTCGGTAAGGCAGTCGCATTTTAAGGTGGCAGCGCCTTTTTTGTGCGGAGCCGGGTGCTGCCGAGGTGTGTGTCCGCGCGCGGCCGCCGGAGCGCCCAGGGCACAGCGCACGCAGCGTGCGGGGCGTTGTGCTCCAGAAGCCGCCGTGCGCCCACACCGCGGTCTGCGGGCAGCTGTGCCGCCTGAGTCACGGACCCCGAGATGGAAAACACCTGTTCCTGTCGGTCAGCAGGCTTGGCGCGCAGCCGGTCTCGTTTCCATTTCCCGGACAGCTCCGCGCCCCTCCGCAGGAGGCCATTTCTTCCTTCCTTCATTCTCAGGTCAGCCCCGCATGTTGGCCGACTGCAGGGATTTGTTGAGACCCAGCGGCAGACGAAGACAGGCCAGTGACTGCCCTGCTCTCAAGTTAACTCCCAGTCTCCTGGGGAGGGGGACCCCGCCCACCCTTAGAGTCACTCCCCCAGATAAAGGTGGGTAAATAGTACCAGGGAAGGGCAGAAGGTGCCGTGCAGCGCGGAGGAGGGGAGAGAGGTGGCCCTTTAAGCAATGGTGGATCTGCAGACTTTATAGAGGAATGGCACTGGAGGGCTCTGAAGGGTGGGGAGTAGAACTTGGGCATGAGGAAACAGAAGGAAGTGACATATCAGCCAGAGTGAGAAAATAGAGCAGAAATCATGATGCTTGAAATCTCGAGTGTGTTGAGGGCAGTGGTGGCCTACACAGAAGTAGTGAGAAATGATTGGGTTAAATTATGGAGGCATTTGGATGAAGAGCGTGGATTTTATTTTGTAAGCAATGGAGAAGCCTGACTTTTTTTTTTTTTTAGTACTTCCCCACTTCTTTATGGTGAATATATATATATGGCAGTGGTTTTCAAAGCATGGTTTCCACACCTGCAGCATCAGTGTCACCTGGAAATCTGTAAGAAATGTACATTCTAGGGTCGTGCTCCAGCTCTATTTAAAATCTGAAACTCTAGGGCGGGGTCCAGCACCTGTCCTTTCACAACCCTCTGGTTGGTTCAGATGCACACACAAGTTTGAGAACCCGTGCTCCAAAACCTTACTACTCAGAGTGTAGGCCTTGGGCAAGTAGAATCAGCACCACCCAGGAGCCTGTTAGCGATGCAGAATCTCTAAAAACCCAGACCTACTGACCCAGAATCTGCATTTTAACAAGATCACCAGGTGATGCCTATGCCTATTTGAGTGCGAGAAGCACCGCTCTAAAGTTTTGCCAAGTAGAGAAGCAGATAAAACCCCCCAACCCTACACTGTCACTCAGATATACTCATTGTCAATATTTTGATGTAATCCCTACGGGTTGCTTTCTATACATCTATATTTGTACCAAGTCCTCTTTTAACAAACATGAATGGTATGAGAAAATATATACAATGCTCTGCTCTTTATTACTTTACATTATATGTGATCAGTCTTTTAAAGCCTCATTTTAATGACTTTATAATATTCATTTTATGTCTGTATCAGTGTACTTAACCATTTTCCAATTATTTGCTATCATATTGAATACTGTGATGATAAAAATAATAGATTTCCACATAGTGCTTACTTTGTGCCAGGCACTAGGTTAAGCACTTTACATATAGTAATCCATGTAATTATCATAACAACCCAGTGAAATAGGCACTATTATTATCCCCATTTTTAAATATAAATATTTTTTCATTGAATTCAGAGAGGAAGGGAGTGGGAGATAGAAGCATCAATGTTGAGAGAGAATCATTGATCAAGTGCCTCTCGCACGCCCCCTAGTGGGGGATCAAGCCTGAAACCCAGGTATGTGCCCTGACTGGGAATAGAATTAGTAGTGACTTCTTGGTACATGGGTCTGCCCTCAACCACCTAGACACACCATTTTCAATAGCAGCTCACAGAAACTTGCCCAAGGTCACACTGCTAATAAGTAGTGGAGCTGGGATTTAAATTGAAGCAACCTGCTTTCAGAATCTATAACCTTAATTATATTTATACTTAAGTTTTTGTCGTAATTTATTTTTCCTTACAAGAAATTCTGATGTCAATTTCTAAAAAATGTCTTGAAACATATTGTCAGTTTCCCTTTCAGAAAGGTTGTAGTAACTTGTGCTTCCACCAGCAGTGTACTAGTTTCACAACATCCTTGCCAACATTGAGAGTTAAACTTAAAAAAATTTTTTTTCTAACCTAATAAATGAGAACTCTATATTGAATGAACTAGGATCTCTTTAATTATAAGATTGGACATTTTTCATACATGTAATTGCCATTTATAGAGTACTGAGGGCCTTTTGACACAATCTTACTGTACTAAATACCTTATATGTTACAGGACATTTCTTCAACATCTTCAATCTCATCTAATCCTCGCCTTAGCCTCAGAGGAGGAAATGATTCTCTACTCACACAGCGGTTTCTGACCAGTGAGGTATCATAGTTCAGTGGTTAAGAGGCTTTGGGCTCAGATAGGTGTGGGCTGGAATTCTGTCTTTGCTGCTTCCTGGGCAAGTTATTCAACTTATGAAAACTTCAAATTTGCTCATTCATTAAATGGAGATACTACTTACTTCATAGAATTCTTGTGAAGCACACTGTGAGTGCTGAATAGATGGTAAGTTTAATCATTTCGTTATTGGATCCCATAAAAATGTTATGGCAGCCCTGGTTGGTGTTGCTCAGTAGGTTGGAGTGTCATCCATGTACAGAAGGGTCATGGCTTAGATTCCCAGTCAGGGCATATACCTAGGTTTCAGGTTCTAACCCTGGTTGGGGCACATATGGGAGGCAATCATTGATGTTTCTCCACATAGATGTTTTTCTCTCTTTCTCCCTCTCTCTCTCAAAAAAAAATCAATTAAAAAACACACACCTATACTCCTGGTGAAGAGTCAAAAAAGTTATGGCAGACATATCTGCCATCCCCTGGCCTTTTTTATTTTAAGGTATTGTATCAGGTAGAAGAAAGAGAAGACACTGGGGGTTGGGTGCTCTGAGTTTTTATCATTAACTTCCTGCTCAGGTAGGAAAAGCTACTGAAGGCAAATATTGGGCGAAGATCCAGGCATGGGATTTGGCTACTGTCCAAAATAAGACGTGGATAATGACAACCATAACTGTTTAAAGGTGAGAAATACTGATGTGCCAAGTTACCTCTTGATTTCCTGTTCTGTCCTGGCTTAATAGTACAGTAGCTTGTGCTCAGATTTTGGGCTTGAGGACAGGGCTGCAAGAGACATGTAATCCATGTGGTACTCAACTGTGTATGAAACAGAGCTCAACATGAGAGCTTAATACTAGCTTGGATGAAGGAGAGCTTGAGTGAGGAAGGGAGGGAATATTATGGGCGGCAGGATGCAGTGAGAGCAGACTTACTATGCCCATCTGTCCCGCTCAGCAGAGCTGTGTGGGTATGTCTAGAACTGTTTTGTTTACTTGTTTTTAGTATGTTTGTCTCTGTCTAAGCCACTCATTGGTAAATTTGTGCTGGTTTCTCAGAAATTTTCTCCCTTCAAATGTAATTAAAGAGGTGCCAAAAAGAATTTCTCAAGTATCCTGTCATTAACTATTGACCATATGCAGACTACTATTTTTGGAAGTGAGCGAAGACTGAAATGACAGACAATTTGGGCATGGATTTAGGATTCAGAAACTCTGTGCTTCTCAAACTTGAACAGGCGTATGAATCCCAATCTTATTAATGCAATTTCCCGATTCCATTCATGTAGGATGGGTCCAAGGTTGTGCATTTCTAACAAACTACCAGGTGATGCTGATCCTGCTGGTCCATGGCCCACATTTTGAAGAGCAAGTATTTAGATCAGGGGTGGGGAACCTCTTTTCTGCCAAGGGCCAATTGGATACTTATAACATTATTTGCTTAATGTAATTCACTTCATATAAATTTATGTTGCTATGAATAAAGCTCCTAGCCTGGCTGGCATGGCTCAATGGTTGAGCATCGACCTAGGAACCAGGAGGTTGCGGTTTGATTCCCGGCTGGGGCACATACCCAGGTTGCCAGCTAGATCCCCAGTGTGAGTTATGCGGGAGGAAGCTAATCAGTGGTTCTCCCTCATCATTGATGTTTCTATCTCTGAAATCAATAAAAATATGATTTTTTTAAAAGCTCCTAGATTTATTGAATTTTGGGTCCTGCCTGCGGTTGCCTGGGCAGGGCCAGACCAAATGATTTTGTGGGCCTTATATGGCCCCAAGGGCCAGACATTCTCTACCCCTGATTTAGATGAAAGAAATTCCATCTCTCCCCTTATCTCCTGGCCTTTGCCTCCCCCCAGAGAGGACATTTGGTCAGATTCCCGGAAATTAATCTGTCCACATTCAAAGGGCAGGGGTATGAACCTGCACTTTATGCAGCAGGAATAGGTATGCTAAGCCAGGTCCTCCTCTTGGGAGCTGGCCATCTTGTTTTCTCTTCTTCAAATGTATCGCCAAGCATACTTTTTATTGCTTCCATTTCTGGTTCAAATGTGGCAGGACAGAGGGCAGGAAGACTTTGATATGTGGGGGGAAGAGGAGGCTCGTGTGGGTCTTTACTGTAGGCTACTTGCTCCAAGGTTGTATTTACAAGATAACTCTGCATTTAAAAATTGGGCATCTATTCAGATAAAAATAAAGTAGTATTTTGATGTCTTATCCATTGATGGCTCTTGAATGTATTGCTTGCTTATGAACCTCACTGAGGAGAAGGATGATTGAGCCAGAGTAGGTTTCTAGACTCATGGCCCTTTGGCCCAATGTCACCAAAACCTCTCCCTTCATTCATCATGGGCAAGCACTGGTTACAGCCCAAATAATCCATCCTATGGACGATCATACCACTAAGGGAATAACTCATTACTGCCGAGACATACTGGGAGATTTCTTAGAGAAGATGTATGTGGAGCTATTTTGATGGAAAGAACTTGGTGTAGTACACAGCAGAAGGCACAGCATTCCTGCTGGCTTTATGGGTCTCAGACTCTGTCTGCCCTGGGTTCTGACCTTGTTTCTGCTTCTCTGAGTCTCTGCCTTTCTCAATGTCAACTGGTCTTAGAAGACTGAAGCCCCCTTCCTTTCCAAAGTCACTGTGGAGCTTGCATACCTCCTAAACAGATGGCATGTGCTGCTTTTTCTCTTCCTTCAGTTCAGTCTCTTCAACATATGAAAGACATATATTTGAATCTCTTTATATTAATCTAAGCTGTTCAGGATTTGGTCACATGCCAACCAAAACAAAGCTATTTTGAGGATGTTTTTCTATTGCATTCAACTTCACAATTTACCTTAGAAAATTACAGAATTTCCATCACCAGTTTTTATCTCTATTCAATTTTCAATCATCCTTCTTTGAAAAAGTGGAAGATTTTTAACTATTTCATGCCCAGATGTAGCATTAGCCATATGAGGCTAATGTGAGATTCATATTTTCATTCATCTTACCCCTCACTCCTATCCCAACAACAAATTTCTCTATAATTCCAGAGTCCAGCTCAGTCTGGCCTTATTTAGAAAAATAAGGTGTCTCTACTTATCCCTATTCTCCTATTACTCAATCGACTTAGCACTCCCCAACCTTCCCATCTCTAATATCAATTGTAGCCCTCCATGGGGGCTATGGTGTCAGTTATTTGGATCTGTTGGCATTCCTTCCCTAGGGGGTTCTTCCTTTCCCAATTCATGTGGTCCTGGTGGAGCTGTCAATCATGGTGTCTGAGCCCAAGCCCCACACTTGCTAGCATTATTTCAATCTTGGCCAATCATATTATTCCATCTCCCTACCCCACAGTGATTGGTTCAGAGAGGGGCACATGACCTAAGTAGAGATTGATGAGAAATTTCCATGAGATTTACATATGGACATTGGGAGAGAAAAATTTTTTAAGTTGGGAGGGTTTGAGGTGAGGACTATCAATGACTTGCTTACCACCTGGAGAAGGCCTATCTGAAAAATGAAACCGAACAGAGGCAGAGAGGATATGAGGGAGAGATTGAACTCTGGTAGCATCATGTAAGTTCTTAGATCCAACAGGTTTTAATGCCAGCTACACCTTCAGACTGCCCAATATGTGAATTAGTGAATTTCTTTTTATATTTTATCTAGTTTGAGTTATCATTTACAATGGAAAAACTATTGACTTATATAATCCTTCTCAGGTATTTACCCTCTTTGCCTTCCACCTGCTGCCACCTTGGTTTGACTGTTACATGTGGCTGGTAATTATAGCCATGTTCCCCTTGCCAAGAAAACATTCATTTTTCAATTTCTTTTACACATTAAAAAATAGTTTACTTGCTATGACTGGGTTGCTCAGTTGGTTGGAGCATCCTCCTGTACACCAAAAGGTTGCGGGTTCAATTCCAGGTTAGGGCAAATACCTAGGTTGTGGGTTGATCCCCCCATATCTCTCTCTCTCTCTCTCTCTCTCTCTATCTATCTATCTATCTATCTCTCCCTCTCTATCTACCTATCTCTCTCTATCTCTATCTCTATTTCTATCTCTATCTCTATCTCTATCTCTCTCTCTCTCTCTCTCTCTCTCTCTCTATCTCGCCCTCTCTATCTACCTATCTCTCTCTATCTCTATTTCTATCTCTATCTCTATCTCTATCTCTATCTCTATCTCTATCTCTTTTCCTCTCTCTAAAAACCAATAACACATATCCTTGGGTGAGAATTAAAAAATAATTTACTTACTAATTTATTCTTAACTTTGTATTATGGAAAATTTTAAACAGACACAAAAGAAAGAATCCTATATAATAAAAGCCTAACATGCTAAGTGTCCAGTCATCTGGTCATCCATTCAACCAATCAAAGCGTAATATGTTAATGATATGCTAAGGCCACTCAACTGCCTGCTGTGACATGCACTGACTACCAGGGGGCAGACACTCTGACTGGTAGGTTAGCTTGCTGCTGGGGTCCGGCCTATCAGGACTGAGTAAGACTGGTTGGACACGCCCTGGAGCCCTCCCTCAATCCCTCTCCAGCTGACCAACCTCCTGTGTCCCTCCCTGGCCCTGATTGTGCACCAGTGAAATCCTTTGACCTGGCCTGCACCCTCTCGCATTTTGGGGGCCCTTGGGGGATGTCAGAGAGCCGGTTTCTGCCTGATCCCTCAGGCCAAGCCAAGGGACCCCATTGCTGCATGAATTCGTGCACCAGGCCTGTAGTAGTATAATAAACCTTCAAGAACTCAACACCCAGCCAGCAAAAATAATGAGCAGCAACCAATATTATTGTCATATGTTCAGTTTTCCATATGTGCTATATTGTCTCTTCGATCTCTGTGCCTTTGGACTCATGGTTCCCTGTGTGCTTCATCATTCTGTATTTCTCATTTGCTTGCTCTTAGAACATTGGGTCTTTCAGCAAAAGTCACCCAGATTTACTTCAAGATTTAGCACAAGTGTCACTTCTACTGTGAACTCTTACTGGTCTCCATTTGCAAGTTTGGTTGAGCATTGACCCATGAACCAGGAGGTCATGGTTCGATTCCTGGTTAGGGCACATGCCCAGGTTGCGGGAGCATACAGGATGCAGCTGATTGCTGATTCTCTCTCATCATTGACGTTTCTATCTGTATCTCCCTCTCCTTTCCTCTCTCTGAAATCAATTTAAAAATATATTAAAAATAAATAAATAAATAACTTATATAGGATGTTAGAATGTGATAAGTGCAACAAAAAAAGGGAAGAGTGTAAGGGGGATTGGGCATGTGTTTGTCTTCAAATTTTAAATTAAGAAAATCAGCCCTAGCCGGTTTGGCTCAGTGGATAGAGCATTGACCTGTGCACCAAAGGGTCCCGGGTTTGAATCCGCTTGGTTGCAGGCTGCTCCCCTTGCCCAGGCCCTGGGCCCTAGTCCGGGCTCATGCAGGAGACAAGCAATTGATGTGTTTCTCTTACATCGATGTTTTTCTCTGTTTTTCCCTCTCCTAAATCAATGGAAAAATATTCTCGGGTGAGGATTAACAAAACAAAAAATTAAATAAATAAATGAATGAATAAATAAGGAAAATCAGGTAGGCCATACTTACTGCACTACATGATGGTTATCTGCTTATTTTTCTGTCTCTACAACTAGATTATAGCTACTTGAAAGCAGGGATTGTGTCTTATTCTTTTTGTAGCCCCAGCGCCTACTATGGTAGTACTGGTAAGCATTTTGTAATGGATTATGGAATCAATAGAATAAATAGAAGAATATAAGACACCAACTTGAAAGACTTTTGGTGTCAAGGAAGTTTTTCAAAAGACAGTACATTTACATGGGGAAAAGTTCAAACAGTACTCTCTATGAAAGAGTATAAAATAAAAATTAAACTTGCCTTCTAACCCTGTTCTCAGTCCTCCAAAATCTTTCATAATGGCATCCACTGTTACTTGTTTCTTATGCATCACTCCAGAGATTGTCATCTATCTATCTATCTATCTATCTATCTATCTATCTATCTATCTATCATCTTTAATTATAAGTACTATCTTGAAAATCATTGTATTTCTGTATATAAAGAACTCCCACATTTTAAAAATATATGCCAGAACCGGTTTGGCTCAGTGGATAGAGCGTCGGCCTGCGGACTGAAGGGTCCCAGGTTCGGTTCTGGTCAAGGGCATGTACCTGGGTTGCGGGCACATCCCCAGTGGGAGGTATGCAGGAGGCAGCTGATCGATGTTTCTCTCTCATCTATGTTTCTGGCTCTCTATCTCTCTCCCTTCCTCTCTGTAAAAAAATCAATAAAATATATTTAAAAAAATAT